TCTGCAGGACAGTGTATGTACTTTGCCTGTCCTTCAGCCTGTTTCATGTGTTCTGCAGGACAGTGTATGTACTTTTATATGTTCTGCAGGACAGTGTATGTACTTTGGCCTGTCCTTCAGCCGGGTGGGAGCAGACTTCAGGGCGCTGATCATCCCGCTCTTCCAACAAGCAGCCATGAGGAACTTTGTCAGCACAGTGCAGGAGGCCACGGGGAAGTTCCAACAGGACATGGAGGCCTACACACTGGTGTCCATCCCCGGGCTGCTGTCTGGGACAGTCATGCCATCCATCAGTCAGGTCAGTAACACCCATCAGTAACACCCATCAGTAACACACATCAGTAACACACATGCCAACACACATCAGTAACACACATGCCAACAAATCTCACAGTCCAACACATATCAGTAAAGCCCCATTCTTACATACAATCCAGATGACCAAGGCCTTCCAACCACTCCCAACCTTTCCAAGACCATTGTTGGAGACAGCAAGGTTGGCTGTTGTTTGGCAATTGGTTTACAAGGTTGATATCTATTTGACAGTGTATGCTAGGGTTTTAGGAGTGGGCAGGAGGGCACTGTGTATCTGCTCACTGTATGTCCATTTTATGTTCCAGTCTGGTGTTGTTCAACTGCCTATGGGCCTGTTAGAGTTCCCCCCATTGGCTGCTTACTGCAACGGCCTCCTGACGGGGTTTAATGAGCTGCGCCTGTGTGCTCCCATCGGAGTGGTGCCTGAACTAACGACAGTCCTGCAGACGTCCCTGTGTAAGGCAGCAGACGTCATCCTGGCCTTTCACAGGTTAGAATCCTGGGAAGCATGAAATCTTTTGGGCAGTTTTGCCTTTGTAGTTCTTGCAGTCACCTTTCCACCACAGAATCATGGTACTGCAAATACTGTATGTCACTTAATGTTTGCAATGGAAAAAGTCTGAGAAAAATACTTATGCAGAAGTATACATTATTCATGGTGGTGGCAGGACAAAGAAAGTCGGCAAATTATTTGTTCACAGTAATTTCTGTGGTAATGATAAGTTTGCAGTACAGAAGTGACAGCAAAATCCGCAAATATTAAAAGTAAATGCAAAAAATGTCATTTACAGTATGTGCTTTCACTATATTTAGAATGCACTATTTTTGCTTCTCTGAATCACTGTTAAGATTTTTTATGATTCAGTATTATTATTTCTTACATGCCCTGGTGGAATGACAAGTCTCCGTCTTCACCTTTCAGAGCGGAAGAATCGGCGATGTCCTCCAGTGAGAAAGAGTTGTTTGGCCAGCTGTGCTCCAGTTTTGCCCATAGTCTGGTCCCCTTTGTTAACAGCTGTCTTCAGGTGATGTACCCAGCTGCAGCTGTAGCCCAGGTGCTAGGAATACCCACCGCTGATGTTGCCAAGGTGATTATCTTTTACATGGTCCTTTTTTCGCGACATATCAGGGGTGGTACATTATTGTGTGCTGTCTGCAAAAATTGTAAGAATTGCATGTAGGAATGTATCCACAGGTTTGCAAGAATTCTAGGAATTGTACAAAAATATTTCCACAGGTTTGCAAGAATTCTAGGAATTGTACAGGAATGTTTCCACGGGTCTGCATAGTGTTTTAGCACAATATCTCAAGAAACTTGAATTTCTATGATTTTTTTCTTTTGTATCAATGAACATACAATTTACTGGTGCTTTATGATTTTGTCTGTATGGTGGCCTTGATAATGAACACCTGCTTCAGGCCAATGAATAAATAAATAAATGGCTGGCCAGCACTTGTAAGTTACCTTAATTGTTTGTAACCTTATAGTAACTGTTGTATTTGTGTCCTAGTTGTCGGTGTGTGCTGTTGATGTGGAGACTATAACCCAGCCTCTACAGGACCTCTTACCTGCCACAACACTGGACACCACCGGTCTAACCAGCCTTCTCATCACTGACATCCCAGGTGGGAGCTACATTTGTAGCTAGACACATAAAGCAGTTAGAAACAATTATTCCATAGACACAGGAAAGCAAAGTAAAATGTTACAATAATCATTGAAAGGCCAACTGTATTCTAATGATTTTGGCGATGTACATGTATCATCTGGGACATACCATATTGAGAAGATGTCTGCAAATTACAAGATAGTATATTTCTTGTGATTTGTGATGCAGCATTTTGCATGTTGTAAAATGTGTAAATATCCATGCCAAAGATTAAGTTGGCCAAATATTTACAATGTGAACAAATTGAAATGATACACCTTCAGTTCTGTTTCCACTTTTGGTATAATTTACTCAAATTTTTATCATAACAGCTGGTATTCAAGTGATGAACATGATAAGGTATTGTATCCTAGGGACCAGGGATTTTTACTAAAATTCACCAATACTGCACTGATGTGTATTTACAGAAGCTTCGGAAAGCACCAGGGCAGCAGACAGTTCTAGCATTGCACAGAGCAGCATGGAACAACTACCAGTGACAGGGGAACCTGTAACATCTGCTGAAGATGTGAAGGAGCCTGATGCTACATCTCCAAATACAGCAACACCCACAGATACAGCAACTACAGATACAGCAACCTCAGATACAGCAACCTCAGATACAGCAACCTCAGATACAGCAACCTCAGATACAGCAACCTCAGATACAGCATCCCAAGCTGCAACAGCATCTAATACACAAGATACAACACCAGAGACAACCTCTTCAAATACAGCACCCACAGATGCAACATTAGTGTCTGTTACAGCACCCCCAGTTGAGTCCATCCCACCACCTGACACCACTCCTGCTGACCTGGACAGGCCTGCCAATCAAACCAATGTTGGCATGGCAACCATCAGTAATACTCAGCAGCCATTGGACAGTGCAAGTAGTTTACCTCCTACAGGAAGCAGCAGGTCTGACCTGCCTCAACAAACAGTTGCAGAGTACAGTGATGATGATTTGGGAGAGGACATACCCAGGCAGTGAGATTCTTGTTCCACTCTCAGTGAGGACCCCAAAATGTTAGCGATTCCCACAACTTGGTTTGTGAGGAACATTCATAATTTAGTGGATATAAAACTGCAGACTTAACTTTCACAATTGAGAAAATGGTTATAGTACCTCTTCTGGTAACTGATGAAATGTTCATATATATACTAGTGACATACACAGTATGAGATAAAAGATGAGAAGAGGGCGCATAGTAGAAGTCATCATCGGCAACGATGGACAACCACGACATACACAGTAGGTTAGAACTTAGATAAAGGTGAATATTATCAGACATGAATTCTGTAAATTTTGAAATAATATAGCTTGGCCAAGCTATGGGGTAATAGAACTCTTGTTTTATACAGGTCTACAGGTATTGGAGTATTTGAATAATATATAGTTTATAAAGTAAAAGGAAACATAATGAGTAGATAAGGCATGTTTTGAAAAGAATACAAAATACAAAATGTATGTCTAGTATGATGTTTTATTCTGATCAATGCACTTTAAGTGAAATAGATGTTATAACTACTTTTAAGATAACAAATCAACATGTTATGTTACATATACACTGTACTGAACTTTATATACACTGTACTGATACAATACGTTATGACCAATACAGAATGTTTTAGATACATGTAGAATGTGTATCAACAAATTCTTCTGGCTAATTAGTAGTAATAATACTTACTTCTCAAAAACAAGTCAAAAGACTTCCCCACAAAACTCGAGACTTTAAACAGTTAAATTCTCCCCATATAAAATTGGTGGGTCACATTATTGTTAATGTACAAAACAATGGCACACAATCATTTTTTTTTGTTAGATTGATACATGTCATGGGTAGCTCAACCCTTAGGGATTTTCCATCAGAACTTGCAGTTCAGCAAATGCAAATTAATGCAACATATACTTCTACAAACAGTAATAAAAATCCAACTGACATGTAAGAAAGAGATAAAACGACTAACGCGACAGATCAAAATAATATTATCTTAACCAATCAGAGAGTGTTCGGCCGCACGTCGGTCAAATGCTTGCACATGAATGTAAGATGTCTTTTTTTCCATGAGCGAAGCATGAGGGCGGCGGGGCTATGCCAAGTCGTGCCAACTCTGGGGCAAATATACAAAAGTAATGCCCTCTGCACTGGTGTTCCAGTGCTGAATCAGCGGTCAAAATTGCGTCAGCACTGGAAATCCAGTGCTGAATGGCTCTGTTCCAGAGCTGAAGCTCCCTCAGCACTGGAATTCCAGTGCTGAACGTTGTCTTCTTAAGGTCTCGGACCGGAGTTTCCCTCCGTATTTCGAGCAATTTGACACCCTCAGCCCGACGGGCTGTCATTTCTGTACTAAACGCGGGTCGGAATTTTTCACTCTTTTGGTGGAAAGGGGTGCCGTGCCGCTTATCAATACACTTGATTGATATTTTCTGCGCCCAATTTATTTAGGGGTAAATAAGGCACATCAAAGTACATTTTTAAAAAAGGGGTAATTTTTTTCGTCATTTTTAACCACGGCTGCATGGAAAAACGAATTTTCCCAGGGTAACGGCTTAGTACTCGAAGAAGCTCAGAACCTAATGTTTCCAAAATTTGAATTTAATTAAAATCGATGCGATAAGTTTATCGCTATCTTCGATGGCCCGAACACACCCATAACGCATATAGAACGTACAATCCCGGCGGTCAGGCGAAAAGGCCACATAACCATCCGCGCGGACGAATACCAGGAAGTCTTCGCTGGACCACCAACATTACGCCACCTATAAAGGCTACAACTAACAGGCTTTTCAGAAAATACAAATATATGTACACAGATGTTACGATTTCAGGGATATCGCGGCCAAAACATACCATTCAAAGTCACGTTTCCGGCGATTTACTGCGCACTTACTTAGACTCTGGTCAGAATTAAACTCCGACCCGGAACCTTAAGGAGATTAATTTTCATAAAAAAATTTTAA